CTTCAATCTTTTCTCAGGGTACTGTAATTTTCACTATATAGATCTTTCACTTCTTTTGTTAGATTGATTCCTAAGTATTTCATTTTTTTAGATGCTATTATGAAAGGTGTGGTTTCACTAATTTCCCTCTCAGTCTGTTTATGTTTGTGTACAAGAATGCTACTGATTTTTGAGTGTTAACTTTGTATCCAGCTATGCTACTGAATTTTGTAATTAAATTCATAAGCCTTTTGGTGGAGTTTTTGGAGTCTTCTATGTAGAGTATCATGTCATCTACAAATAATCACAATGTCACTTCTTCCTTTCCTATCCTTATTTCTCTTATTTCTCTCTCTTGTCTAATTGCTCTGGCTAATATTTCCACAATTTTATTGAATAGGAGTGGTGACAGTGGACATCTTTGTCCTGTTCCTGATTTTAAAGTGAAAGCTTTCCGTTCTGATCATTTACAATGATGTTAGCTGTTGGTTTGTCATAGATGGCTTTTATCAGATTGAAGTAAAGTCCATCTATGCCAATTTTCTGTAGGGTTTTTATCATGAATAAATGTTGGACTTTATGAAAAGCTTTTTCAGCATCAATGGGGATGATCATGTGATTTTTTTTTGTCTTTGGCTCTAATGACATGGTGTACATTAATTGACTTGCGTATATTAAATCATCCCTGCATTCCTGGAACGAATCCCACTTGGTCATGGTATATAATCTTCTTGATGATTTGTTGTATTCTGTTTGCTAGTATTTTATTGAGAATTTTTGCATCTATATTCATTAGGAAGATTAGCCTGTAGTTCTCTTTTTGGTTGGGTCTTTCTCTGGTTTTAGTATCAGGATAATACTTGCCTCCAGGAATGAGTTGGCAATAATTCCTTCTCTTTCAATTTTATTAAAGAGTTTGAGAAGAATTGTCATTAAATCTTCTCTAAGTTTCTCATAGAATTCAGCTGTGAATCCATCAGGACCTGGGCTTTTCTTCATTGGCAAGTTTTTTATTACATTTTCAATTTCACTTGCTGATATAGAGTTACTCAGGATTTTTATATCTTCTTCATTCAGCTTTGGTAATTCATATGTATCTAGAAATCTGTCCATTTCCTCTGTATTTTCCTCTTGTGAGAGTAAAGATTTTCAAAGTAGGTATTGATGATCTTCTGAATTTCTACAGGATCTATAGTGATTTCATCTTTTTCATTACTTGTTGCATGTATTTTCTTTTTTCTTCCCTTTTTTTAATAAAAGTTGGCTAGGGGTTTATCAACTTTATTTATTTTTTCAAAGAACCAGCTCCTTGATTCGTTAATTCTTTGTAATTTTTTTTAGTCTCCGTTGCATTAATTTCTGCCCTGAGCTTTACAGTTTCCTGTCATTTCTGGGCTTTGGGTTTGCCTTGTTCTTCCTTTTCTAGAAGCCTGAGGTGCAGCATAAGATTGTTTATTTGTGCTCATTTTCCTGAGGTGGAGATTCATTGCTATAAATTTCCTTCTGAGGACTGCTTTCATTGCATCCCACAGGTTCTTGTAAGTTGTATCTACATTTTCATTTGATTGTACATAGTGTTTAATTTCTTCTTTGATTTCATCTGTGACCCACTGATTGTTCAGGAGGGTGCTGTTTCATTTCCATGTGTTTATGGAATTCTTGCAATGCCCTTTGTCATTAATTTCCATCTTCTTTGCACTATGGTCTGATAGTATGCATGGGATAACTTCATTTCTTTGCATTTACTTAAACATGTTCTGTGTGCCAGTATATGGCCTATTTTAGAGAATGTCCCATGTGCAGCTGAGAAGAATGTGTATTCTGATGCTGTTGGGTAGAACACTCTGTAAAGGTCTACTAAGTCCATTTGTTCATTGGTTTGGTTTAGTTCTGTTTTTTCTTTGCTACTTTTTGTCTAGTTGATCTATCTCTTTGTGACATGGAATATTGAAGTCCCCTGTTATGATTGTGTTGCTGCTTATTTCATTTTTCATGTCTGTTAAAATGTGTCTTCTGTAGTTGGGTGCTCCTGTGTTTGGTACATAGATGTTTATGATTGTTATCTCTTCCTCTTGAATTTTTCCCCTCACAAGTATGTAGTGACCTTCTTTATCCCTTTTAATTGTTCTTCGTTTGAAGTTAAGGTTGTCTGCAAACAGAATAGCTACACCTTCTTTCTTCTGGGTACTTGTCACATGGAGTATTGTTTTCCATCTTTTGATTTTTAGTCTATGAATTTCCTTTTCAATGAAATGTGTTTCTTGTATACAGCATATTGTTGGATTTTGTTCCTTGATCCCTCTGCCAATCTACTTCTTTTGGTTGGTGAATAGAGACCATTTACATTGATGGTTATAACGGATATATATTGGCTTATCTTTATCATGTCATTTTCCTGCTGTTGGTTCCTCTTGTTTCCCTCTGTTTAATTGCTTGCTCAGCTTGGTGGTTCCTTTTTTTGTTGTTTTTCTTGAAGATGTGGTCTTTTTTATCTCTTCCTAGAATATCTTTTAGTACTCTTTGTAGGGTTGGTTTGGTGCTCATGAATTTTAACGGAGAATAATGAAGCAAGTGAGGGACAGGATTAACAAAAGAATCTAGGTGAAATCAAAGTTCTTCAATCTTGTGATTTTTAAATAAATTTGAAAACATTTCAAAATAAAAACAAATTGAACTACAGGAAATGTCCCTTTAATGTTACTTAGTGTCCCGTTACCATCACTTAATCTATTGCTCAGTCATTTGTTAGCTAATGTCCTACCCACTTTACTCTCCACATAGGCCTTCTGTCCCTGCACAGAGGAGTGAATGACAGCTCCCTGGGACTTACACCCTCCAGAACCAGGAGTAAACAGATTCTTTCCTTTAAAGATCACCCCAGAAGAGTTATTTTGTTACAGCAACAGAAAATGGACTAAAACACATTCTTCCTACTCAAAGACCCTATAGAAAGAACAGTCCATGTTAGTTACTATTGACTATAGGCAGACTTAATTCCTGGGTAAGTTTTTTAAAAAATAATTATCTTCCCTAGCAACTCACAAGTAGAGAAACTGTAATTTTACTAAAACTTTGGAGATTCCATAATAATGCATCTTTTTTTATTTTAAAGAGAAAAGAAAACAAAATAATAACCAAGACAAAAACAAAACAACAGAAAAACAATACAAGCAATACAGAATTTCAGAGCAAGGTGATAAGAAGTTAACAACAGTTGTTATATTACATATTGTTATCTTCAGAGAAGTTGCAGATCACCAGATAGAAGAATGGAAGACTGATCAAACAATTAAAGACAATAAAAAGAAATCAGAAACGATGCAGAGTTTCACCAATCAAGATAGTAGGGATTCAGCAATGGTTGTTATGTTGCATATGGTTGTCTTCAATTTAGTTGTTCAGATTATCAGATATAATCATACAAAACTGGTCAAAAAAAGAAAAATTTAAACATTAACTTTTCCTACCAATAAACCAATAGACATCAGCAGTATAATTATGCCGGCTCTCCTTGTACATCCATATATATTTTTCCCTTCCTTTTTTTCTTTTCTCCTTTCCCTCATCCCAGTTGTTCCTTCCCTTTCACAATATCTATTGTACCTTTCAGGTTTCACTTACTTTTTCAGGTTCTTACACTAGGGAGACAATACGATGTTTACACATGCAGTGCAGTTTGTTATAGCTAAACCTTGGTAATGTATCTTCTTAAAGGGTCATTCTTTGCCTCACTTCTGAAATGTTTCAGTGGTATAATTTCTTCCCACACCCTACAGCATCTAGCACAGTGCAGGGCAAATATCAGGTGCTAAGAAAGACCTCTAGACTAACCAAATGCAGTGTACTCATTGGTGAGAGAGTGTTCTCACCGTGTACTCATCTGTGAGAACAATTTCATTGTGTTGAATACGTGCTAAAAATGATTTCCTCATTTGCTTTCATTATACACCCATAGATACAATTAAGTCACAGATATAATTGTGAAAGACTTAAAACAGAAAATATTTTATTTGATTCTATCATTTTAACGTAAAATTTTAAATGTCAATCATTTTAAAATAAAATAAGTACAAAAAATTAAAAAATAAATAAAATAAAACAAGTACTCTAAAAAATCAATCCAAGACATAGTACTGAGAAAACAACGATGCTCTGCAATGCGAACTGTGTCATGTTGTTCTATTATAATGCACTGTTTCCACTGGGAAATCTCAAGACCTCTAAGAGTTTAACTACCATCTATTTTTAAAACAAATTTTAGGGCCAAATGGCAATGGTTAAGATTTCACTCTCTGGAGTACAACATACACAGTAAGACAATATACTCAGTGTACTTAGTAAAATTATTTAACTTTATGGAGCCTTGATAGTCTCATCTATAAAATAGGGATATTAATAACACTTCAATCAAAGAGTTGTCATTAGGCAAAAACAGTTTCATTTTGTGAGGCAACTGGCATATTGTAGGCACTCAACAAGTACTTATTATTATTATTGCCATAGCTTAATAAAAAGTTCAAAAAATAGAATCCAAAAGTGTATGTGGCAAGGTTGAATTTCATTAAAAGAGCAGAATACATATATTTATATATAATGTATTTATGATAAACAGATTTTACATATATTTATATATTTATATTTTATTTACACATAAGATATATACATATGTAATTAGAGAGAGAGAGAAAGTACCTGACAGGGATTCACTGAGAAAAGATCTACAGAAAAGGAACCACCAGAATTATAATCTAAGATCAGCCATGCACATTTTTACTCTTACACTTCGCTGTATTCTTCAGATTTTTCCCATGAAAAATGGTTACTTTTGCAATAATCACTGTAAAATGCTATTTTAAAAACTTACAAGACTGAGCCATTTTTAGGGTGTTTTGTCTACAAAAATTTTGTTCATATTACTTACAGAGTTGTGTAAAATATGTTGCACAAATTGCTTTACATGGCCTGCTTGCTTCTTTCCATCACAGAATAACTGTGAAGTGTAAAATAAGGAACATGATTACCCTTCGCAAGCTCCACGCAGGTTGGCCCCTAGTTCCACCGTGTCCTATTCTTATCTTGTATATCTCTCCAATGTTTCTTATTTCAACCTGAATAAGATTCAGAGGAGAAAAACAAGCAGAAGGTTTTAAATTTAGTACATTAAATATTTTTCATAAGAAACACATTTTGTTGTTATTGTTCATAATAGCTGAAAAGTTTTCTGGGATCCTCTCAGAATCTAGAAATAAAGGCCTCTCAAGAAGCTATCGGCGAATCTCACAAACACAGAATATGAAACAGAAATATCATGCAAGGACCAAGAATATACAGAAGGAGTCAGATGAAAGAATAGGATAAAGAACACTCATATGTCCAGTTCGCATACTTTTCTCACAGGCATCTCATTCCTGGGTGGATTAATTTAATCCTTATTAAAGATTAATTTAATACCTTACCTGGAGAAGTCCTTGAGTAATTCCACCCTTTTTGAGTATTTCCTTCCCTTCTTCTGATAACCAAATAAATACAGGCCACCCAGAGAAGGTCTTTGGTCTTAGCCCTGAAAGAATCTCAAATTCTGTGACAGGGCTTTGATCCTCCTGGAACCCTGAAATCATTCCATTTGCCTCTTTTATTTAGCCTTTGCTGTACACTCATTCTGGAGATGGCAGACTTGATCAGCCCGCAATAATTAAGGGATATTATTAACCAGATAGAGTACCTCTCAAACTTTGCAGTATACACAATTACCTGGGGAGCTTGTGCAAATTCAGACTCTGACCCAGTGGGTCTAAAACAAGGCCTGAGATTCTGGAATCATCCCAGGTGACACCTATGCTATTAGCTTGGAGTCCAAAAGACTATAGACTCCAGGAACCCCTCATCGAGCCTTTAAATATTTCCCTGTTTGATCTAAGAAGGAAATGGGATCTGTGAGGACAAGCAGTTCACTCAAAGTAAGGCAACTAGCAACAGCTGACTTCAGTTTGGTGTGCTCCTATGACTCCAAAGCCTCTTTTCTTAACCCATTCACTACATTTCCTATTTGTCAATAACACTGTTTTTAAAGGTTTATACCTTTTCTCTTTTTGTCTTCAGACTATGCTAGAATTTAAAAAATGATACTATTGCCTCTATTGTACATGTAAAGATAATGCTGGCCTGCAGAAGTTAAGTTACATATTCAAGGTCACACAGCTAATATATAGGAAGCCAAAACTCCTGTCCAGTTCACCTTATTTGAAATCTGGTGTTGTATCTAGGATTCTCAATTTTAACTGCACTGTAGAATCATGTGCAGAACTTTTAAAAATATCAATGCCCAGGCTGTATTCCAGACAAAATAAACTAGAGTCTCTCAAGGTGAAACCAGTCTTCAGTAGTCCTTAAAGCTCCCTAGATGATTCCAGTGTACACTCATGACCATCTGTCCCATTCATTCTAAGAGTCTATCCTCTGTAAATTTTTCTGGAAAATACTGATAGGATTTACCAGCCGATAAATATATACACCACAGGGCATATAATAGGAAATAATAGCCTTTTGTGAGAGGGCCTAGGGATCTCATCATAATATATGCATTCTGATTTCTAAATATCCTTTGAAATATACACACTCTGTGAAGCAGGTTTGATTGCCTATGTAATGAGAAAAAGTACTCCTTCATGACTTCAGACAACTGCTTTTCTTCACTAAAAATTTAACAACAGCAAAAGCAAAATGACAAGCTCAGATAGGAAGATCTAGAAACCACTTCAGTACTAGTGAATCCCAGATACTGCAGCCCCCAAAAGCCTTGACTTCCTAGTGACTTGGACTGGATTCAATCATTCTACATCCTCTAGCCAGCCTTAGGATGCAAATGGAATACCCTCCCGGGAGAATGACTGCTGTTTAACAGTGCACCAAGAACTATACAGCTTTCATGCTGCAAGGGGAGTGTGAATTAGTGAAGTAGAAAGTCATTGTCCTAATTGAAATTTGGCCAAGCTCTGAAGAACTAGACAAGGCAACCAGCTGCATTTCAAGCAGAGCAGCCCAGTTTTGTTCTGACACTAAGAAATAAAAGAGAGAGAAATTAGAATGGGCATAGCAGAGCCTTAGAATGTGCCCTATAAAGATGCCAAGAAAATAATTTCACGTCCCTACAGCTCAGCTGAGAAACATCTAGAAGTACATGCAAGTATCCAAAAGAGGGGTTTTCATTATCAGAAAGGTCCACAGATGGCTTATAACGTGGCTATAATTTGAGTTGAAGTTGACGGTTTATATGCCACTTTCAAACCAATGGACTAAAACAAATTACCTTTAAAAAAAAACAGTTTTTTCTACACCTTTCCTTGCTTGTACAAGATATGTGAGCAAAAGAAAATGTTTCCTTTGATTACTGCAATAGGTATTAAAGTAACTGAGGATTCCAAAACACTGCAGATGTATTTTATACAGGACACATATATAATCACTCACTCAAAAAAATCACACTCCTATTTTACAGAAATGCCTTGGTAGTGTTCAAAGAACAATATTACTGTTGATTTTGTTTACCTGAAATTCATCCTCCTGTCTCGGAAGGAAGAGGTGTTCTGGTCTGTCCTTGCTAAGAATTACTGGGCCAGTGACTCCTTCATCTCCGTATACCCAGAGCGTGACACTGGCCTGAGTCCCTGTATTTCCCGTCAGCACTAACACCTTCCATGCATCTTCTGACAGCAGAGCTTCACTGCTTTGGGCATGTCTGGTTTCCTCTAGGGAAGAAAAAAGGCATCAGTGGCAGATCAGATGCAACATCAGGCTGACAGAATCCTTTGCCATAGCAGAGCCCATGGCCATCAAAACTGGGCAGTATGGAATGGGATGAGGCACGGGGAACTGAATTTCCAGGACTATAGGGAGCTGATTTGTTCTTATCTTCTCACAGCAAGGTTCTGGTCAACTAAAACTCAGCTACTGAAATAAACTGAATAAAAACAATAAACAGCGGAAGTATCTAACAACTTTGTACTTGTCCTCAATGCTACAACACGAGAGGGCATGCTAGGCTCTGCAGTTCTATGCTCAGAGAGTTTTTATAAAGCTGCCTACCCACCTTATGGGTTTTAAATGCAAATATTAAAAATATATAATTAAGCACTCTCTCAAGTGAGATTTAAAAATAGCAAATCAAGGAAAAACAACATTTCTGATGTATTCCTCAAAAAATGCCTAAGTGGAGAGGGCAATGAAAGGGTCTGAAGAGGAACTAAAGAGAATTTTCACATATAGTGGTCCCTGAGAGGCTCAGAGCATTTTCCTGTGCAAGGGACAGCTGGATAGTACTGGTATGTCACAAGGCAGCCTCCACACTCGGAGGGACCCGAACAGCCACTCCTGGTTTATAAGGAGTTCGAGGAAGTCCCTCGCTGGGATGACCGTCTCCATCCTTAAGCCTATTGTGTCCTCCAAGGAGACACTGGGACCTGCAGTGCTGACAGCGAGTCCCGAGCTCTTCTGTACTGGTTATCTGGAATTGCTCCCATATCAGCATCTTAATTCTTAACTGATATTTTCACAGAGAACTATTATATAATCAAGGTAATGAAGCAAACGGCTTCATGCTGGATGTTAGAAGGTAGTCAGAACTCTTCTCCTTCCTTTCATTCTGTGACCTGAAACTATACTCAGTCCATGAGCAGCACCCAGGATCTCAGGAGTACAACATTAACAAGGATGACAAACCCAACAAAGAACTATTTTGTGCTAAGCTACTGTAAGTTAATTTAAATGTAATGAAAACTATGCAAGAAATTATAAATGAAAACAAATGCTATGAAAGAACTAACACTGCTTTTTTAAATATCCTGGCTAATTGCTACCATTATAACGGCACACATTTTTCTCTTCATTTATAACAATAATCACCATTTATTAAGCTCCTACTAGATGCTGCTGGGCTCTGCGTTGAATGTATCGAATGCATGTCTCATTCAATCTTCACTACACCCTGGGAGGTAAGTCAAACTGTGAGGTTCATTTTAAGATACAAAAAAAGGGTAAGGAGTTAGGTAATATGCCCAAGTCACCGAGTAAGTAAACCATGGAAGGTTTAACTCCAAAGCTCCTGCACTTAAAACTTGGTAGGTATTCTGTGTTCACCTAAACACAATTCACCAGGACACAGCCGCAGGGGCACCGCTCAGCACTTCAAGTTACATGTTATGCTAAGCACTCTAAGTACTTAACATTCACTATGTCAGTCTTACTCCCTCCTCACACTAGTTCTGAAAGGCAGTGTCCCCTGTTCAGCAGGTGATCAAACCAGGACTCAGAAGTAACCTGCTCAAGGGTTACACAGGCCGGGCAGTGGGCATGCTGGAAGAACTGCAGGTGGCCGTGTACAGCTGAACATCACGTAAGATACAATGTGTGAAGAGGAGAAAGGAACGGAAGGTGCGGCAGGCATGGGCAGGGTGGAAGGGAGTTGGCGCACCCTTGTGCACACAACAAGGAGTGGTATTGAAGTCCGGTGGCAGTAAGATTTCAGTACTAGAAAGATCAGCCTAAAACAGGGTGAGCTGGGGCCAGGAGAAGCTGAGGAAGACAGTCAAGTGCGCAGTAAACACGAACAGTAAACAGACACACAACCCCTACACGAAGGCTGGGAGAACCTGGAGGTGCCATGCAGTTCTGGGGGTGTCCACATGTGTGTATGTATTTAGCTTGTTTGATACAATCCACGAATGCATTGGTCTCCACAGCTGCTTTGTCCTGTGCTAACATTTTATTACACCATTCATACAAGGACAACACATAAGGTCCACTCGTATTGTAAAAATTTATGACTTAATTTGGCATAACGCATTAGACAGCATGATGCATTAAAGTTTGTGCCATTATCAATTAAATATGAGTACCATCTAGTACCACAATATTCTGGAAATGAACCAAAGTCCATTAGTCTCAGACTATAAATTTCTCTATTTTAGAACCATAAAAGCAGTTGCTTTTGTTGACCAGAAGTTTAAAATACTCCAAGCTGGGAGAATACGTAGCCCTCGGGCATAAGCCTAATTTTGTCATGAAGGTGCAGAAACAGGGATCTGTCAGACCCACATTTATTCCTTAGAATCTTTCTATTGATGAATTATTAAGTTTAATTGTATGAGCTTTATTATATGAAACAACGAGTGCTTAACAGGAAAAACATCACAAAAGTAAAGTATTGAGATTTTAATATTTATTAAGTGTTTATAAAAAAAGTATCAAAGTTTTAACATTGACTGGTTTTTGGTGTGCAAAGAACATCAGAAATAAACTGCTATATGAACTACAATGAAAACACCAACAGCACTCTATAAAAAATCTTTTCTTCAGTTATCACACCTAAGGCAGTCTGCACGCATGGCAACAGCACACTCCCCACACTCGCATCACTTCCACCAACAGCACACGTCTTTTGCTTTCTGGCCTTTTTGCAGGGCATGCTTGACATCTCAGTGGTCTTGCTGTTTTGTCAGGAGGTTCTTATTATATTACAGTATACAGTGTGCAGTTAACAGGAACATAAAATACTTAAAAAATAAATTATTAAATTCTTAATACAGTGCATTTAAAATAGCAACGTTTTCACATCAGCTGTGTACTTGCTTACAAAACCTACAAGATAACATCAGAAATAAATTCCTATATGAATTACAATGAAAACACCAATAAAATTCTACCACAAAAATAAGTCACTGTCACATCCAATGCAGTCTTCACACATGACAAATGTATGTTCCATGCACGCATCTCGCTTACACTGACACCAGGTGTGCCTAGCTTTCCTTCCCTATGTGGCAGTCTTGTCACCTCTCTTCTCTTCCTGTTTGTCAGGAGCTTCCTACTGTATTGTACAACATGCACCTAGCAGGTAAATAAGATGTCAACAGAATAAAATATCAAATATGTACTGAGTGCTTGGAATGGATATATTTTTTACATCAGCTGTTTATTTGCTTACAAAACCTTAAAGATAACATCAAAAATAAAAACCTATGTGAACTACAATGTAAACACAAACAAAAGTCTATCACAGAAATAAGCCTGGCTTCTACTCAAACCCAGTGTACTCTTCACACACGACAATTGTATGTTCCATACACAAGTATCGCATACACTGATAGCACATATGTTTTGTTTTCCTGTAGTTTCTTCTAGGGCACAGTTGACATCCTTCTCTTTCCCTGTTGTCATAGTAGGTCTTTGTGATGCTGCACCACCTGTTCACCTGTCAGCTCACCAGTGTGCTCCACACTGTCTTGCATAGTTCCCTGTGCAGAAACAATCTGTATTTCCTCTACTATAAATGATCTCTTATGAACTCCAGTCCCAATAATCTAAGAAAATTTCTCTGTGACATTTTGCACTTACTGTTTTCTTTGTAAACAATCAAACTATTTATGCCACATGTTTAAGATCGAGTAAAACACGACCATTGGCCAACGCTTTGAATTTCAAGTAACATCATAGTTGCTGCATAACTCATCAACAACATCTACTCCATGTTCAGTTCTGTTGTTCAAAGTTTCCTGCTCAGGCTCCCGTTTTGTCACGGTTTCTGTATCAATATTTCCATCATGGTGAAATGGTGACATCAGTGGTACCAGTTTGTTTTTCTTTGCCATAAACAAAGCCAGCGTCATAGCTTTCTGAAATCAAAAGACTGCACTATATGATCTCTGTTTTAAAACTGCAACATTTCACTTGGAATTTCTACTTTGTTCTTGTGTACAATTCCTGCCATGGACAACTTGTGCTCTGTTAGCAAATGTAACAGGAAACTGATAAACCGACTATCCAATGTCACATTCCAATTAGTTTAGGAGATAGGAACAAGTCTGTTGATAACATCATTCGGTTAATTACTATATGAATAAGGATCTGATGGCTGAGTTATAGGATAAATATCTAAATTTATCCTATAAGTCTTTGCATCTACAAGAGCATAGATTTTTATGCCATATTTTGATCAATCACTTTGTCAAAGGTCTTTTACATTCCTGTGATCACCATGAGAAATCTGTGCTGTGTCGACATCAGTCGATTCTTGCTTCATTTCACCATCACAGGAACTTTGGCTGACGTGGCCAATGTCAAAGTCATTGTAGCTGATTGATAGCTGCTGGTCAACTTATAACCCCCAGCTGAATGGAGTAAGCATGGTGCTGGGTACAGGAGGCCCATCTGGGGATTGTTGCCAGCAGCATAAGAGGCAGAACTGGAGAAGAAGAGAGGCTGTTGGGAGCTGGTAGAAGCTCTAAGGAGCTGTTGGTCATTTTGGAGGAGTTCGTCGTGCTGGCTTTCCTGATGAACTTGGCTGTTTTCATCTTTCGAGGAGCTCAGGACCTTACTGGCACTCAGAATGGCTTGGGTTCACTTTGGGGGAGCTCTGGTTTTCACTTTGAGCATCACTTCCTGGCTCCGGAGGGGAAGATGGTGCACTGCTCAGTCTCTTGGAGAAGCTTGCTGCATTGGCTTTCCTGATGGGAACTCAGTCATCCTGATCATCAGAGGAGCTCGAGACCTCACTGTTGCTGAGGAGGGCTGTGGTACCTTTCAGGACAGCTCTGGTTCTTCTGAGCATCACTTCCTGGCTCCAGTGCAGACCCCTCAGCCTGCTAGCACAGACCCTTTATCCTGCTGGCACAGACTTTCTAGATTCCACCGCTAACCTTTGGGCCTTTGCAGCACAGATCCGTGAAATAGGCCTGCATGAGATATTGTCATG